CAGACCAACACACTCGAGTTCATGGTGTGGTCTCAGGTTGTTCCGATGAAGCTAATGTTGTTTTCAACTTCCTGACATCTCAAAGGTTTAAGAGGCCTTAGTATCAAAGTAGTTGGTGGCACAAGGTAGAGACCAACAGGGGAGAAACTAAAGCTTTGCCACTCATTCTGAGTTTCTTGGTGACTCTTTCCCACCCATCCCAGGTAATCTTGTGCCCCAGGAAAGATCATGACATAATCAAAGCGTCTGCCCCCCCCCCCCCAGGCTCCCTGTGTCTGGTGAGAAACCAGGTGTAGTTGCTCTGCTGTTCTTGGCACACAGGGGCTTGAGGGCTGTCTGCTTTTGGATGGAATGCAATCAACCTGACACTTTAGAAAACTTCTCATTCTTTTATAATTTCATACAGATAGGAGGAGACTTCTGAAATCTTATCTCAAACTGGACATAATATTTATGCTCCTTTTGTATCTGTTGGGTCAGTGATGACTCAGCAGGTGGAACATACAAAGTAAATTCTTATCTTCATTCTTTGCCCCTAACTCTCATACAGGATTCAGGAACTTGGTAAGTCACACTAATACAGGGATTCCAGAAGATGCTCAGGTTAGTCAAACAGTTATCACTTGACTGAACTGTACGGATTGCTGGAAGCCCTAGGGAGGCAGATTTCATCTCGGAGAAAGGAGATGGGATGGGTCACTTGGTCTCAAAATACAGATAGATATGAGAGCGGCAGGGGGCATGGCCATGCGGCCAAGGGGCTGGGAGAGGAGAAATGTGAGGAGCAACATCTTTTCATTAGAAGAACTGTCTGGGAGTTGGGAGACCAGGGTCCTGCCCCGTGCCTATGGAGAACTCACCCCAGGGCTGTGCTGGCCCCTTACCTTTCCAGGCCTCCTTTTTAATGGAGCTGGTCAGTGTCTATCAGTGTACTTCGAGACTGTGACTTTCTTAAGCCATGAATATTTTCCCTAAGTAAAATTTGGACCCATGCTGAATATTTAAAACCAATGAGCAGAGGTGCCTGGGTGGCTCAGTCGGTTAAGCATCTGCCTTCAGCTCAGGTCATGATCCCATGGTCCTGGGATGGAACCCTGAGTTGGGCTCCCTTTTCGGTGGGGAGTCTGCTTTTTGCTCTTCCTCTCCTTCTGTCCCTCCCCTGCCCCACTGATGTTCTCTCTCTGTCTCAAATAAATAAAATAAAATCTTAAAAAAAACACACACCGATGAGTAGCTTTGATTAAGTGGTATGGGGTGGGGACTGGTCACTTTCTTCTCCTTCCCTTTCAGGCAGCACCATAATTTGAACACCACTTGACATGATGGAATCTGATTGACTGACAGGTTGTCTACCAGACAACCCTGCAGATGCAATGTTTGGGCTCTTTGGGAGAGCTGGAAACTCACTCCTGCAAGTCAAGTTGCCTGTTGTTGCTAAGAAGTAAAATCCTCAGTATTGCATGTTCAAGCGTGCTTGTCAAGAGGATGTTTAGCTTGATGAGACCAGGAATCAGTGTAATGTGGGCTTGATATTAGCAGAGCTGCAAATCAAAGTGAATATGATGTTTGAATGTAATTCATTCTGTTCCTACCCAAAAGAGAGAAGGATGTTCTCAAGAGGCGGGCAGATCACCTAATATCATTATAAAAGGGAACAAGAAATGTGACAAGATTTTACTCTATCATAAGACAGAGATAACATGGCATTGCTATTTTAATTATATGGGCACTGTCTATTTAATCTTCATGTATTTAATATTGTTCTTTGGAATGTTAATGTACATAATGATATACAGTTTTTTTTGCATATTAAAACAGCACAATAAGATATCCAACAAAATGTAAATCTCTAAGAAAAGATGAAGAAATTGCTGTTTAAGTGACAGAAACATAAGATAGTATACTATACATGTTAATTGTTTAATTAGTCTTACAGTTACTTACTAATGGCCACAGTAAATAATCCTATTGTGGAATAGTTTAAAAATAGCATATGATAAGAGAAAATTAAATAATTAAAAATAAAATAAAATTTCAAAACACCTAGGTCAACACTCAGTCTTAGAGAAATAACTTAGATGTGTGTAATTATTTGTTACATGTTATATTATCATGTTTTACTTTTTGTTGTCTATTTTGGCTAAGTACCCAGTTAGCACTCTAAAAATTAGTGTCCCTGGTACTGGGAGAAGTACATTGGGGTGAATTTTGACCTTCTGTAACTGTTTGGAGGGGCAACATAATGTTTCTCCTAAGATCATGTTGACAGGGAAGGATGCAGAACACACTGTGCTGGGAGGGCAGAAGTGCAAGTGCAAATGGCGTGGTTTGGACAGGCAGAGATGGGGTGACCCTAGTGCCCACATCTTCAGTGTCCTCTCCCTGTCAGCACCCCTGCTCTTTGGAGCAGCTGTCTGGAGGCAAATTGTACTTTTTGTCCAGGCTGGGAGGTCCCAGGTCCTTTGCATTCCGATCCCATTTCTTCAGCATCTCTGTTGACTCAAGGTCAGGGCTGTCTTGTGGTCCCCTGCAGAGGTGACAGAAGACGCTTCTTGAAGAACCCCAGCCCTCAATATCCTTATTCTCTAACTTTCTCTACCTGTCCAACTTATTCTTGGGGCACCCTCCTTTCCCCAGACAAACTCAGACATCGTTATCAAGGTCACCAACCTTCACCTCTGCGACTCTGCTATAGTTAATGTCTAGTTATAGTCAGTGAATTGCCAGTGTTTAGTTTCTCCTGACTCTGATGATCTGCCCCGGGGGTGGAGGCACTGGGTCTCTGTAGGCAGCAAGTCTGCTGGAGCTATCGGCTTGGGAGAGAAGTTCCCGGTGAGGTTTCTGTGTATGAGCTTGTCATGGTTTTCTGACTTTTTGGTTAAGTCAGGAGGGCCTGTAATACAGAGTTTGCACCTGGAGAAAGAAAGTGGGAGGAACCGAGTCCTTTTGCACTAGTTTTCAGTGTGCAAAATACTTTCTTACCGAAGTTCTGCTGCTGAGGTTTACTTAATGGGGAAAGGTACGGACCTATGGGAGGCTGGAGGAAGGGCTTGGCTTTTGGGATGATCATGATGGGAATTGTCTTCTGGAGGTGAGCACTGTGAGGTCTGTAGATATCTTTCCAGCAGGGCAGCTGGAGGCAAAGAGCTGCCTTGGAAGTGCTGACTGGCAGAGAAAGACATGGAGGCGAGATGGGTCTGCCCTGATGTTTCCTTGGCACTGAGTCCAGAGTGGTGCTCTGGGCTGCAAGTAAATGTCACAGAGAAGGAGGGCTGAATGGACTCTTCCATCGCTCTCCCCTCCCCCTTCCCCACCACCAAGTATTCTTTCTATTTGCCAATGCAAACAATTAATAATGAGACTGTTATCCCCCAGAGCAGGCAAATAATAGATAATCCCTATGGGTAGATGGTAGCAAGTGTAGAGAGTGCCTGAGTATTGTCAAAGATGTAATGTTGATTAAAATTTTGTTGATACATGGCTTACACTGAATATTATAGGCAAATGACTTGCTGATAAAAAAATAGCCATACAATGATTAAATTTACCAAAGTATTTTTGTATATAGCCAGTTAGACTTGATAAAATATGTGTTCAGTGATTATTCCATTTAAGATTATGGAAACTGCAAAAGTTCAGATGGTAAATGTCACACTGCAAGGAGTAATTAGCATCTTGATGGATGTAAAAAAACCTCCCTGCTGATTCTGTACAGTTATCTTAAGAAGGTATTTAAAGTATGGTTTAAATTTTGTGACTTTAGTAATCTTTTATTTGAATATAATATTGATATAGACAGTCATGGGCTAATTTTTTGGGTACAAGTCATTATTTTAGTTAACATTTTGTAGGGAGTTTTGTATAACCTTAGATTATCAAAATAAGAGAATGAAGCAGTGGTCTGTAGTCCAGTGGGGGTTGGTGTGGCTTAAGGGTTTAAGAGAAGGGCACTAGCTGTGGATGGGCGCTTGGGTTGCTTGCGTCTCTTGGCCATTGTGAATAGCGATGCTGTGAACGAGTGTTTGGTAGCTATTTTTAAAAATGCATATCTTTACTTTTTTCTTCCTTCTAGTACATGTATGGTTTCATTTTTTTTTGCATTTATTTATTTTAAAAAATTTTTATTTATTCATTTGAGAAAGAGTGAGAGAGAGAGAGAGAGAGAGAGATGGAACAGGGGGAGGGGCAGAGAGAGAGGAAGCAGCAGATTCCTCACTGAGCAGGAACCCAGGGCTATCCCAGCACTCCGAGATCGTGACCCGAGCTGAAGGCAGACGTTTAACCACCGACTGAGCCACCAAGGCGCCCAATTTTTTTTTTGCATGTAGGTATCATATCTATTTGAGTTTTATTTTGGCTTTTAGTGTGAGGAATAGGTCCAATTTTATCTTCCCCCCCCCCCCAAATAACTATCTAGTTGTTCTAATACCATCTATTAAAAGTTCACTGTTTCCCAGCGATTTGCCACCTTTATCAAATATTAAATTGAGCCTTGTATGGAACTTCAATTCTGTCCCTTTGGTCTGCCTGTGCTACACATAGCACGGGCATATGGTTTCAGTACAGAGCTTTGCCTAGGGGAGGGAAAAGACTTTCCGTCCTTCTCCAAGGCGGTGGGGGGAGGAGAAACGGGGGACTGGCTGGCTTGGCGAAGGGAAGAAGCTCCTCCCGATCCCCGCGATGGTGTGGGAGGGGTTAATTGTTCCTCGGGAAGAACCCCATTTTCCTGGAGGGGCTCAGACTCTGTTCTGGCATGCGTTTGTTGTGTACGGAAGGATGGTTAAGGAACACATGAGAAATCAGTTATTTCCACTCTAGACACGGACATTTATTAAGGCTCTGGCACCTTCCCTGGAGCCGCCCCAGGGCAGAGTCAGTCACAGCTGGGGGGGGGGGGGACGGGGGGGGGGGGGGGGGGGAGGGGGGGAAGGCGGGGGGTGGGTAGGGGCTAGGTCTTGCAAGGCTGTTTGAAGCGTCTCATTGTTCTATTTACCCAGGGCATGAAGCTCCTAATCCTGGTGAAGACTGTTGGAGGAATGCCCCTCCTATCTCCATAGGAGACAATGCCCTGGGCCACGCCATTACACACCAGGGGGCCCCCGGAGTCCCCCTGAGGGCACGGAGAGAAAGAGACCCTAAGCCAGGCTTCCCCACTGCTCCCCCTGGCTCTCAGAGAAAGCAGGGGTGTGTGGGTGAGATAGATGGGCGGGCGGCGGAGATATGGAAGTCAACCTTCCGGATCTTTCCCTGGCTGGGCTTCAGGCCTGGCTACAGGTACTGTCTCTCACTCAACCCATGTCAACATACCTTCCCCTGTGGCAGGAAAATCCTGCACGTGTATATGTTGTGTTCCCCCGGGACCCGATGGATGGGAAAAGCCCCCACCCCACTCTGCTCTGACCCCACCAGACAAGGGGGCGCAGAGGCGTGGGGGATATAGCTCCTTCCTACTGCCCAGCCTGCCCAGGCTCCCGTGTCGGGCAGTGTTGGCAGACAGACGCCCATGGCCTTACCAAGAAGGCGGACTTCCTCTTCCTTGGGTTGCCCACACAGATTTGCGTTTGGCTGTTGTAGAAATTGAAGCGACTGGAGCACCTCGAATCACTCTGCACGGTTAGCTGCACCTCGTGGAGTCTGTTTGTTCTCCTGTTCAGGCCCAGCTGGCCCCAGCCCGCCACAGTGCACCTGTCCCCGGGTCTCACCCTGGCCCGCCTGCGAGGCAGAGCCACTGGCCTCACCGCCGACGTCCGTCTCATTGGTTTTGCCAGCTGCCAGGAGGGGTGCAGGCGCTCAGGGGCCGCCTGCGCAGCTCATCGGACGCTCCATCCCCACCCCGGGGCTCTGCCCCTGCCTACTCCCCCAGAGTCCCCGCAAGGCGAAGTCCCCCAGCACTGGGCATGGACGGGCGGGGTGGGCAGGCCGCACCTTTAATAACATGATGTCATTCCTGTTGGTCTGGGGATTATAGTCAGGGTGGCGGGTGGCTCTGCACGCCCTTGTGCGCTGCTGCGTCTGTTCCTGCCTGCGGATGTTGTGGGCCCCCAGGGTGACCGTGATATTACTGCAAAGGAGAGGGGGCCTAGAGGTAGGTGAGAGCCTCAGGAGCTCTGGCCGCTGGCTCTGCACGGCAGGTGGACAGCCCAGGGCGGCAAGATTGCCGCTGAGGGAACTGAGGCGGGGGTGGGGGGGGGGGGGGGGGGGGGTCAGGGGCCCAGCCCTCTGTGCTTCTCCTCAGCCCTGAGCTGGGGGTGGTGCGGGCGCAGTGACTTTAAGTTTTGCTTCCCCTGGAATTAGTTGAGAAATAGCTTAAATTCCTATTTTGAGCCCCAGCATGTGTCTTCATCTCCTGGTTTTTTTGATCATGTCCTCCTTTTCTCCTCGGTCGCCCTGGCCTGTTCTCTGCCCCCAAAGTCCCACTGGTGTCTTTTTCACTCCATCGTGGCTGGAGCCCTGCTTTCACTTGGCTGGGCCTGCGTTCGCCTGGGCCTGCGGGTCCCGTGGGCCTGCGGTCCTGGCCCTCCGGGCGCCCCCCAGCTGCTCACCTTCCCCAGCAGTGGGCTGCCGTCAGCACGAAGTCATTTCTCACCAGGAAACCCCCGCAAGCCCTGAGCCCCTGTTGAGACTGGATTCGGAGAAATGCCATATAGGGGTGGGAATGAGGCCTGGCCTCTTGGCCTCCGATGATCTCCCCTGGAAGGAAACATTCGACACTTATCTCTGCGCTGGCTGAACCAGCACTGTGGGCCCCAGGGTGGTGGCTCCAGAAAGGCTGGCAGTTGGGGAGCGGGGAGAGATGATGCAGGGGAAGGAGGAGCTGGTGGTGAGAAATGGGTCTGCAGGGCACCCACTTTGGGAGAGGGCTCCCGGGTTCTGCAAGAAACACTGCTGGCTCCCCATCCCAGACCTCAGCTCCCTCCCAGCTCCCCAGAGAGCAGCCCCAGCCTCTCTGGAAGTTCCCTGGAACTTTTTTCCTCAGGGAGACTCCCAGGTCCCTCTGAGGCCTGCTCAGGGCCCGCTCATGACCAGCATGGGACTGGTTTTTCAGAATCTAGACAAGAGCTGATGGTAGTTCTTGTGCATTCTTATTGCCTGGGCTTGGACCCGCGGGCAGCAGGATGAATTTAGAGAGTGCATTTATCTCACATGTACTATGTGCTGGGGCAATTCCAAGAGTTAGTTTTATGTACACTAACTTAGGTCTCATAGAACACTAGGAGGTATGCATTGGTATTACTCCCAATTTATAAGTGAGGAATCTGAGGAGCTGAGAATTCAAATATCTTGCCCAACGATACAGAGTTAGGAGGTGTCTACGCAGTCTGGCTCCAGGGTCTAGGAGAGGGGTCGGGCCTGAGGTTGGGGACAGTCACTCACCTGCCCCAGCCCCAGGGGGTAGGAGAAAGGCCATCAGGAGCAGGAGGAGTGGCATCTTCTTGGGAGGGTTGCCCCAGTCAGGTGCTGCAGGTGCTCTCTCCTGCCAGACTTGTATCCCCTGAGAGAGGAAGGAAGTCTGGGGGGCGGGAGGGGGGCTCGAGAACAGTTCCATTCTCCTGCTGGTGTGATAGGTTTCGTCACCCAAGGCTGCCCAGGAGGCTTGCCCACCAACTGCCAGTGATCTGCAACTGCCCATTTCCAAATTGCTAATTTAATTTATACTGTAGTAAGGTGTGGACATGGGTGAATGAAAGACGGGTGTGGGGTGGTGGTGGAATGCGGTGAGGACACCAGGAATAAGTCAGAGGAGGCAAAAGAGGGAGGAGGAAGGTGGCCTGTCTTTACCCTTTGGGTCTGGACCCTTTGCTGGTATCTTTGCTGCTCCCACTTCTTTCTAGAAGTTGTCAAGGCAGATTGAGGAGCTCTCCTGAGTGGGTGCAGGGCACAGCCAGGGAAGGAAAAGGGAAGAACAAAGCTCTGCCACTGATAATTACTTTCTCAGGACACTCGAGCCCCAACAAACGCTCAGTGAAAATTAGGACACAGTTGAAGATTTCTATTTTCCTGCTTCTACTCAAGGTGAGGGCTTTTGTGTCCCAGAAGGTTCCTTGCACACAGAAAAGACCCTGGCTGAAAGAAAAACAACTAAGATCCTTTTCATCCATGATATGAGTCCAATTCACCTAATCCTATTCTCTGCCCCAGAGGCTTCTGAGAAGGAAATGCATGCTTGTTGTGCGGTCTGCAATCCATAAAGAATCACCTATAATACATAAAGAACGTGCGCTCCACATCGAGAGCAAGGCGTCGCAGATCATTGCAGAGTAACACAGACACCCTTAAAAATACTTAGAAGATTCTGTGGATGCACAGAAAAACATGGTAATATGGTATAAATTTTGCAAAAATGTCAGAATTAAAAATTAACACAATTCTTAAACTTTTCCGGCTGTGAGAGCCCCACTTGAAAATATTATGGAAATGAAGCATCCTCTCCTTGTATTTAAATATACAGGATTTTCATAGCTGCAAAGAACTTAATCCCTTCTCTGATACATGCTTAATGGTTGCAACCTCATGAAATTTCTTTATGCATCTGAAAAGTAATATATAGAAAAAAGAGAAAACATTATAACGGCTTTATTAGTGCCTTAGCATTAGGGGTAATTTTACTTTATTGTTACTTAACTTTTTCAACACTTTGCTTTAAAACCATTAGTCTAGCTTTTTTTTTTTTTAAAGATTTTATTTGAGAGAGAGCATGGGGGCGGTGAGGGTGGAGGGGCTCAGCTCGGGGTCTGCTAAAGTTTCTCTCTCCCTCTCTCTGCCCCTCCCTGCCGTGCGCACATGTGTGCTCTCTCTCAAAAATAAGTAAATCTTAAAAAAAAAAAAAAAGTCACAATGGTAAGTTAATTCTGGGGTTGGAGGGCAGAGAAGACATTTTTTTAAAGAGATTTTATTTATTTATTTGGCAGATAAGAGACATAGCGAGAGAGGGACAACAAGCAGGGGGAGTGGGAGAGGGAGAAGAGACACATGGGGGTTTCTGAAATTTGGCCATCGTTGTTTAAGTTTTGGGTACTTTTCATGTGTGTATATTTTGCAATAAAATTTTTTTAAAAAACTCTGTTTGCCAGGGTTGGGGATTAGAGAGAACATTTGGACAGAGAATGGAATGTGGGAGAACAAATAGGAGCACATAGGTTTTTATTTTCTATTTTAATAAAAATTGTGATATTGGAACAAGGAAGACTGTGATACATTTCACAAGATTCATAGCTGGTTACATTTACTTTTGACTGTTTTATTACATTTCCGTCAGTTACAATAGTTTTCTCCTCTGGGAGGTTGGGACATTAAAGTAGGATGTTTCCCACCTCCTCCCAGGCCCCATTTACTGCCCAAATGCAAAACCTCTGGGCAGGCAGTTGCCCGCTGAGGCCGGGACCACTTCCCTCTCTGTCCTTGTGATGCTGCTCTGGTCAGAAACCAATCCGGTTGCTCTTGGCATTGTAGGAGACCAGTGTACTACTGAGGCATTCCGGACATTCTCAGGGCCGCCTTAATATCACATTTAGAAGGACAGAGTGGCAGCTCCTTGAGAAGTTTCTGCTGATGAGCTTGTGGTTGTTTTATGGAGTGCCAGTGCGGGGAGAAGCAGGTGTCTGCGCTATTGTCTTCCCACACACACGTGTCTGCTGGGAGTGAGACTTTCTTTGCAAGAACTGGCCTGTGCTCTGTTCCGGTAGGAAAGAACTGGTGACAAAGGAAATTCTAGGTGGACATATTCCCTGAGACTCTCTTCCCCCAGTGTTCAGACCATCCGACTCTTCAACAATAGGAGATCAGTAATGCTAATTCTCTTATATTCAATGGGGTGAAATGCTATCCAGCCATTAGATGGCATCATGTTTTAAAGACTGCTTAGTGGCACGGAGCACTCTGCATCATCTAATATTACGTGGAAAAAGTAGAATGTGGAACGGTGTATACAACTTGATACTGATTCTGTTAAAAAAGAACACGGCCAGAATGATCATTTTATGACTCTTATTTTCCCTTTTGTATTAGCCAACTTTTTCTATAATGGCTATGTATTAGTTTTACAGGTAGAACAAAATTTAGGGCCTGCAATCCGTATAAACAGCAAACACTATAAGGAGTTGTGGTAGAGGTGAGCTAGCGGTCTAGCCAAACAATTTCCTTTTCTTCCAGAGGACCTGGGTGCATGCCGTTGTGTAGCCTTACTTGACGTTAGGTGTGACAGTGTGATGCTAGTAGCAAATGGGATGAGTGGAGATGCTGTGGGTACCTTCCAGACCCGGCCTATCACCTGCTCCTGTGCCTGACCATCCAGGTTCTTCCGCTACCTGGGTTTGACCCGGATGAACACAGGGAGTTTGGAAGCCATCTTTAGGAGCCTGAGTCTGGGCTCCTTAATCATGGGCACACATGCAATTTATTGTCCCAGCTGGGACACTTGAGAGTAAAAGGGGCAGGAACATTCATTTTGGACTGTTTGTGAGCAAGAAACAGGTTTCTGTTGGGTTAGTCACTGAACTGCTGAAGTTTCTGTGGTAGAATAGTTAGGGTTATCTTAACTAACACATGTACCAGCTTATTTAAGCCTACCTTTTTTCTGATGTTTGAGAGAGAGAGAGAGAGAGAGTACGAGAGGGGGGAGGGTCAAAGGGAGAAGCAGATGCCCCGTTGAGCAGGGAGCCGGATGTGGGACTCAATCCCAGGAGTCCTGGGGTCATCACCCGAGCCGAAGGCAGACACTTAGCAGACTGAGCCACCCAGGCGCCCCGAATCCTATAGTTTAAATTATCCAACATAAGCATCTCCCTCTGGGGCGCCTGGGTGGCTCAGTCAGTTAAGCAGCTGCCTTCGGTTCAGGTCATGATCCCAGGGTCCTGGGATTGAATCCCACAACGGGCTCCCGGCTCAGCAGGGAGCCTGCTTCTCCCTCTCCCTTTACCCCCTCCTCCCTGCTCCTGCTCTCTCTCTCTCTCTCTCTCAAATAAATAAGTAAATCTTAAAAAAAAATCTCCCTCTGTTAGTGAATATCTGTTAATGAATTAATTAAATATCTGTTAATGAATATTGTTTTAAAATCTCATTCATATTTAATAAACAGGCTTTTAAGTTATTTAAATAATACATAAAGTTGCAGAAAAATTAGGAAAGTGGATATATAGGAAGAACAAGAAAAGCCTAAAAGGAAAATACATGTGTAAGTAAAAATTTGATTTTTTTTTTTTTTTGAGACTAGCATATTCTGCTCTCACAGGCTTCTGACTTAGGTATACCTGGGAGCATCCTTCCATGGGGCAAAATTTAATTGTTTCATAACTTAAAAGTTTCCATAGTGTTTAGTAGTACATAATTTTTAAAAAAAGAATCCCCACATTAGTCCTGGACACTGGTGTTGTTTCTAAGATTTGACTTATGTAACAAATCTATAAGGAATGACCGTGCCAGTTTTCTCAGTGTGGTTGATGGGTAGGTCAAGGACTCCTTTGTTCTTCTCTTGCGATTTTTTAGGACCTTTGTATATAAGGTGTGAAAATGCCATCTCTCCATGTCTATACAGAATCTCGGTATTATCATTTTTGTAAATTTTTCTCACCTGTGCTATTGTTAGTGCTGTGAGCACCAGGGAAGACTTGGCAGATGGATGGAGGCACAGTCGTATGCGAAAAATTGGCTTTTATGTGCTTTTCACCTTATTTTTCAATGTGCTGGATTTTGCTTTTTCACATCCATGTGATTTATTTGTTATCCTTTTCAGTGAAATTCTTCCTCTTTTTGATGGTGGTCCCACTTGATTCAGTGTTTATCCAGTTGTCCAGCTATTGTGAATTTACTGGGTTCTGTCATGTCCAACTCACTAGTGGTGTTGTTTGAAGGACGTAGGACCCTGGGACGCCTGGGGGGCTCAGTCAGTTAAGCATCCGAACTCTTTTTTTTTTTTTTTAAAGATTTTATTCATTTATTTAAGAGGGAGAGAATGAGAGAGAGAGCATGAGAGGAGAGAGGGTCAGAGGGAGAAGCAGACTCCCTGCCGAGTGGGGAACCCGATGCGGGACTCGATCCTGGGACTCCAGGACCATGACCTGAGCCGAAGGCAGTCGCTTAACCAACTGAGCCACCCAGGCGCCCCAAGCATCCAAACTCTTGATTTCGGCTCCGGTCATGATCTCAGGGTCAGGCTCCGAGCTCAGCGGGGAGCCTGCTTGAGATTCTCTCCCTCCCTCTCTGTATCCCCGCCTGCCCGCTCTGCTCACACAGGTGCATGCGCTTTCTCTCTAAAATAAATAAATATTTTTTAAAAAAGGATACAGTACCCTCAAATAAGGTTATCTGGTCACAGTGAACTATCTTGCACCTGACATGTGGCATTTCATGGGTTTGTGGACTGCAGTTCATGTCTTCTACCTGTGAAATAAAAATGAGGCTGCTGCTCCCTCCTACCGCCCTCTCTTCCTCACCTCAGGACGTGGCCTCTACCGTGCATAGATCTGGACATCTCAGAACGTGTGGGTCTCCAACTTTCTTCCAGTTTCACATTGCCCTTTTGGAACCAAAGTCATGCATGTGAAACTATAATGTGCGATACAGATATAATTCAGGGATTTTAATTATTTTCAAGACAGGCTTTCTCATGGATTCTAAATACAGATCCATTTGTGCCAAACCTGAACTGCTTGGTGGAAGGAGGTGGAAGGGGCATTTAGGAGACATTTCTCATTAAGTTTCCCAATGGCAGGGACAGAGCCAGTCATGTACCTGGGGAGAGAGATTAACATTTGATCCAGGATGGTCTGCAGCCCGGAGCCCTCTGGCTCACAAAGCTGCCGTAACCCAGGTTGACAGCAGGGGGAGGTGGGGTCCTGAGGCCAGGCCAGGCTGTGCCCCCTTGCAGAGAGAGAGCCCCTGGAAACAGGAAACTGAGTCCCTGTGACATGGCCCCCTGGCCTCTTGGGTCCCTGGAGTTACCCCCTTTCTACTGACCAAATTGTTGGGTTGGTGATGGTGGTTGGCTTAGAGAAGAAGTTTCTAAGGCCCAGAGGGGATACTTTTTGGGGAGAGGATTGTCCTTCTATAATAGAGTTTAGGCTGAACCAAGGGCTTCTATAATAGAGTTTAGGGCTAAGCACCAAGGAGGTGTAACTGAGACATTGATGAGAAGCTAGGCAGCATAGGGGTTAGGGAGGGCGGAGGGCTGGGGGAGAAAGGAGGCAGCAAAGCCTGGAGTTGGCAGCAGAAGACTGCCTGGGGCAGTGTTGCTTCATACCGGAAGTGGTTCGGTGAATAAATAAGACCTCAGTCAAGTTGCCTCTAGAGATCCATTTATTATGGCCCTGCCATCCCTACCCTCCACCCCCCAGGCCCAAGGGATTTTTGCCTCTGCCCCAGGAAAGATGGCCAAGCACAGAGGGAGGTCAGTCTCATGCCTGTTGTTAGAGGCGCTTCATTGTTCTCTTTATCCAGGGCAGGGAGTGGGAGACCTTCATGAAGACCCCTGGAGGGTTCCCGTCTCCTTTTCCATAGGAGAAAATCCCCTGGACCACGTTGTTACACACGAGGGGGTCCCCGGAGTCCCCCTGTGGGCAGAGAGAGGAAGGACTGAGCTGGCCTCCCAGTGGTCCTGCCTTCCCTGCTGCGCTGGGGATGGGTGGTCTGTGTTAGGGGGCTGCATGGGAGATTGGGCCCAGGGCAGGCCTTGTCCCCTCTCTCAGTCCCTGGGCTCCAGCCTGGCACTGACTGTTCTCTCCAGCTCTACCCAGATGAAACCTTTCTCTCCAATCCTCAGGGAACCTCGGGGGTGGAGGTGGAGGGGGGGTGGGTGGGAGGGATGCTTTTTGGGATGACAGATCCTTCCTCCCCTCCATCCTGACCCACTTGGGGGAAAATTGAAGACTGGATTTGTGGACCCAGCTGCCCAAGCTCTCAGGCTGAGACACGAAGATATGGCCACGCCCACACCCTGGACCGCCCCAAGTTCCTCTCTCCTGGGGCCTGTCTAGGTAGATGCTGGAAGCCTGACCTTGAAGCCGGTCTTCATCTTCTTCGGGTCTCCTACACAAATCTGGGTGGCCCCGCTGTAATAGCCATGGAAGAGGGATTCACACTCCCAATCCTTCTGTACTTCCAGCGACACCTCCTGCAGAGTGGTTGCTAGGGAGCTCATTGAGACCCGCCCCCAGCCGGCCACACTGCACACCTGTCCTGGCCGCACCCGGGTCTTGCCGGTGGGCAGGCGGAGGGGCCTCACCGCTGCAGTCCGCTTGGCCTCTCTCTCCAGCTGATGGGAAGAGGCAAGAGAGTCCAGCTCAGCCAGGGGCCCCTGGGCCTGGACACCCCGATGAGGCTGCACCGTCTTCTCTCTGCCCTGAGCCACGGGGACTGGTCGGGCGGCCAGGGTGGGAAGGAGGGGAGGGGACAGGTCCCAGGGGGAAGAGGAAACAGTGTGGACCCAGGAGAGCAAGGGCAGCAGGGAGGTCTCCTTACCTTCAGTAACATGATGTCGTTGGAGTAGTTCTTCGGATTATAGTCTGGGTGGGGGATGGCTTTTCTCACCGGAATGTCCTGCTGGGTCCTCTCCTGTTTCTTGATGTTGTGGGCCCCCAGGGTGACCCCGATGGAGCTGCACAGAGAACAGAGTGGGGTGTGGGGGTGTGAAGTCACAGGATACAGCCAGCGGCTGTGAAGGGCACATGACAGCCAGGGCAAGGCAGGACTGGAGCCGAGGGGGAAATCAAGGTGACAGATGGGTCCTAGATCCTCTTCTTTTCAATGACACTGAAGGTAGGGCTTCTGCAAGCTTTCTTTTGCCTTCAGGCAATATCATGAAATTACTCGAGTTTGCATTTTGGCTCTAACGCATGCTTCCATCCTCCACGGCTGCTTTATTTGCCTGGTGTGGTCCCTCTCTTCTCAACTGTGCCACTTATTGTCACATCAGACCCTCTGACCCCCAAAGCTTACCTGTCCTGCTTCTCAGCCTTTCATTGCCCCAGCCATGCTCTCGGCTGGCCTCTTGGATGAGCTCTCATAGGCTTGAGTTATCAGGAGCCCCGGGTGCTTCCCTGGGCTTCAGCCCCTGGGGAGAGGACAGGGGTCCCTGTAGGGGTTTCAGATGTGTAGGCTGGATGCTGCCCCTCACCTTCCCCGGCAGTGAGCAGCCGTCAGAACAAAGTACTTGTGCACCAGGACACCGCCACACCTCTTCTTCTTGTCCTTATCCAGAAACTGAACAAATGCCATGTAGGGCCGGGAGTGGGGCTTGGCCTCATGGCCCCCGATGATCTCCTCTGAAAGAAAAGACTGGAAGATGGGGTGTCTGGGGGCGGCTGTGGTCAGGAGGGAAGGCTTAGGAAGGTGGTGATTGAGGGCAGGGTCTACAGCGCCCTGCGGACCCCAGGGTGGGCAGTCCTCCCAAGTTCTTGTAGCAGGATGACCTTTCTTGAACCTTGAGCCTCAGAACCCCCCTGAGAAAGGGGCAGTTCTTGTTCTGCACATCCCACTTCAGGCACACTTATGGAGGAGATAAGATCTATCTTTAAGATGGTGGAGTCCCAGAAGATCATGGACAGGACTCCCCTGATGCCTTGATTCTCAGTGAATCTCCCAGGCCCCTCTGAGCCCCTGCCAGCATCCTGATGGGTGCCATTTTCTAATAAACTATCTATGAGTTTATTGAGTTGGATTTTCTAAAATCCTCATGTCCTAGGGGATAGCACATGGTCTCAGTAGACATTTTTAGGTTGCACAAAGGAATGGCCTTCGATGCGCTTTTGGCTGAGGTTGGGTGGAGAGAGTGCTGGCGGGATGCAAGGCCACAGGAATCGGGGAGGGCACTGCCAAAGACAGTGGAGCAGCTGAGGGCCTGGGGCAGGCAAGCGGAGGTGGTGCTGACAACGGGTTGCCCAGGCCTGGGGCAGAGCTTTGGGTGCAGTCATCTAGCTGCTGCTGAGATCAACTGCTGAGAAATTTAACCGGCTCTTTAAGCTGGGGCCAGTGACACCTCCCACTACTACAGCCGGTTTGCCTGAGCTTACCTTTCCTGGGTTGGAGTGAGGGCTTTTAATTACCTGTTTTTTGTAGCTTCATATCTTCTGCCAAATGCCTTTCTCCAAACAACTCACTTTCCAAGTGATAAGAGGGAGGCTAACCCGTACTAACCCTCTTAGTTAGCACCCTTCCTGCCGGCCATCTTTGTTGAGCGTCTGTCTAGCATCAGACCTGTTAGTCTGGGTTTGGGGTAGGAGCTGGGGTTCAGAAAGTTCCTGGGCTCCAACTGAGGATGATCCTTGACTGTGCTGGGCAGAAGGGTCAAGAGTACAGGGGGCTTTGGGGGATGGGCTCAGGTCTCTGGAATGGGGATGGTCACTCACCTGTCCCAGCACCAAGGGGCAGAAGAAGGGCCAACAAAAGCAGGAGTGGCTGCATCTTCCCTGAAGTCTGCTCAGGTCGGAGCTGTTGGTTGTCCTTCCAGATACAGAGCCCTGAGGGTGCTGAAGTGATAGAGGGGTGGCTCACTGATCTTCCAGGCCTCTTCAACCTCTGCCCCTCTATGGCTGGGTGTCATCATTTAAGGTGGTTTGTTGAAGTTCTCTGGTTTCAGCTATCATACTTGCACTCCCACTGCTGAGTCATAAAGGGAAAGCAAGAAGAAAGAACAAGAAAGTGAAGGCTGTGGCTCCCGCCAGCAGGAGGGCTGCTGCCTCAGAAGCCCCTCAGTGATGGACTCAAGAATGTCTCCATTTCTCGGCTCTTTTCCCATTCTGAGGAAATCATGAATAATTATTGAGCTAGCTGGGTTCAGGGATGTGAGACACACAGCTCCTGCCCTTGAGGTGCCAGTGGTCATCTGGAGCAGCCAAAGAATCTGTGGTGAGTGTACATTTTCCCACAGTTGAAGCACACTCATCAGTGGCAGATGTTCGGCAAACCACTTTTTCTGTTCAGCCTGCCTTCTCTAAGGTGGATGTTTTAAAGATGAGATTACTTTTTCTGAATACATTCTTATATAAGAGACTTAGAGATTGTTGAAAATGGAAGAAAAAATTTACTCAATAACTATAAGCTATAGGACAACTTTGAAACCATAGGATACCTTTGAAACACAAATTTTTATTGTAATGAGTTTCCTTTGGAGACACACACACACACACACACACGTGTGCACGCACACACTCACACATACACACACACACAGAAATAGCGTGAGGCAGGAAGAAGCTGGATCAGACCAAGTTGGAAGAGCACCCTCAATGTCATTTGGGGCTGCGGGAAGATGGGCATCAGGACACCAGAGGCTGTGCTGGGCTCTGGGACCATCGCAAGGCTGTGACCAGCCCTTGGGCTAGGCCTGGGAGTACCGAAAGGCCCTCCAGAAACTCTGAGGCTCCCAAGCTGCCACTCTGATTGGGAAGGGAGTGCTGCAGAATCTTCCCGCTTATTTCTATTAGGATGAAGTGATCCCCTATCCCAGAGTTTCTTAGGTGGTTCTCCTTCCAAATGTGGATTCCTTTATGTTGTCGTATTGGGAAGGATGGGATGGGGGTGTAGGTGTGGGATGAGGTAGGAGGGCAATATGGATGAGATAAGAGGGTCCTCTAGGAGAAGGTCATTTTTCTTGGGGCAGTGTCTCCCTTTTTCCGATGGAGCTTACGTTCAGCCTGGCAGGGGGAGGTGCTGCTGGGAGGTGTATTTGGAAGGAGCTGGGTATCAAAGCAACATGACTTTATTCCAGAGGAATGTGAACAGATGGTGGCTGGACACGCAGTGGGTAACTAACACATGTTTTGGTGAATAAAGGAGGAATCTCATTTCCACTCAAGAGGTGGAAGTTTATTAAACCCTGGCGGCCTCCTCTCCACCCCTTTCCCAGTGCAGTTCTGGCCTCTGCTCCAGAGAAGATGGACAGATTGATCCTGGGGGCACGTCAGTCCGGTCCCTGCAGGCTGAAGCATCTCATTGTTCTTTCTATCCAGCGCAAAAAGCTTGAGGTCCTGGTGTAGACACGTGGAGGTTTCCCATCTGGTCTTCCAAAGGAGACAATGCCCTGGGCCACGTTGTTACACACGAGGGGCCCCCGGAGTCTCCCTGTGGGCAGAGGGAGGAAGGACTGAGTTGGGCTTTCTCTCGGTCCTGTCCTCCCTACCGCCCCTGGGGGTAGATGGTCTCTGTTAGGGGGCTGTGGGTGAGATCAGGGCCAAGGCAAGCCTTGTGGCCTTCCTTGGTCCTTGAGCTCCAGCCTGGCCCCGATAATCCCCTCCCTTTTCTCCCTCAGAAAGCCTCTGCCCATAAGTAGCTGTGGGACAGTCCGCCCACCCCTCCCCACCAGGGAGACAGGACCAGAGATTGGATTGGATAGAAAGGCTGAGGGCGTAGAAATACAGCTAGTTCTCACTGTCCCTTCTCCTCAAAGCTTGGTTGTCCCAGGGCTGGGCATGGACAATGCTGGGGATCTCACCTTAAAAGAAGACTTCTTCTTTTTTGGGTTCCCCGCACACATCTGGGTTGTGCTGTCGTGGAGGTTTTTATAGCGTGAGATGCATCGTTTGTCCCTTTGGACTTCGAGCTCTACCTCGTGCAGTTTCCTTGCCCCAGAGGTGCTGTTCATGCTGAGGAGCCCCCAGCCGGCCACACTGCACACTGTTCCTGGCCACACCTGCGCACTCCTCTTGGGCAGTCCGAGGGGGCTCACATGGGCGGTCAGGTGGGCCTTCTTTTCCAGCTGAATGCAGAGGAAAGGAGTTCTAACCTACCGATGGCTCACAAAGACTTTAGGGAGAGTCATGGGGTTGCCCTCCTCATAGCCCCGGGATAAATGAAAATGTCATAGCGGGAAGGAGGGACAGGAATGAGGCCACAGGGGATGCAAAATCCCCAGGAATAAAGTGTGCAAGAACCAGTGGACCGAGGGCCCTCCGTGCAGTAACATGATGTCGTTGAAGACGCATTTAGGATTATAGTCTGGGTGGTGGATGGCTTTTCTCACCAGAATGACCTGCTGGGTCCTCTCCTGCTTCTTGATGTTGTGGGCCCCCAGGATGACGTTGATGGAGCTGCACAGAGAGTGAGTGGGAAGTGGGGTCACAGGACATACAGCCCAAAAGCCATGGACGAAACGGGACAGCTCAGGTCAGGGCAGGACTGGGATGGAGAGGAATTCTAGGGGATGCGGAACCAGGGCTGAGCATCTCTGTACCCTCTGCTTCTTGGCAGCCCAGGCTGGGTGGCAGTTCTTGGAAGAGGGATCCCCATGTGGAGTTAACAGAAGGGTGGGGTTGCAGGTGCTGCTTCTCACCTTCCGTTGCAGTGAGCTGCTGTTAGCACAAAGTCCTCCCGTACAAGGAAACCCCCACAGATTTTATTTGGATTCTGGAGCCGGAGAAATGCCATGAAGGGACGAGAATGAGGCTTGGTTTCATGGCCCCCGATTATTTTCCCTGAAAGAAACAGTTTACCCTGACTGCTGTGCTCATGGAGCCAAAGGCTGGAGAAGGGGAGATGGGGATAAGCTGAAGCAGGAGGGAAAGAGTTGGGGTGGCAGAGAGCAGGGTCTGTAGTAACCAGTAGCAACCAAGAAGGGTTCCTCAGACAGCATTCCTGACTTGCCAAATGACCCACAAGACTCAGATTCTACCTCCAACAGAGAGAAGAACAGTCCTTGTTCCTTAATTCCTGCGGTGGACACATATGGTGGCAGGTGGAATTTACGTTTGAAACAAGCAGTGAGGTCCCCACAGATCCTGGAAAATCCTTTCCCCGATAGTATCTGGGTTCTCTCTCCCCTTTTGTTTTCCAGAACTTACTGAGCTGCTCCTCATTTGTAATGTTTGGAACATGAGCTCAAAATGCTCATGTTTGTGTTGTGGGTTGTGTTTGATCTTCGCTAGAGCCTGACACATACTAGGTGCCCAGTAAATGTCTTAGTTGCATGAAGAAATGGCTCCCAATTAGCTTCTGAATAAGCATTGGTTGCGGTTCTAAGTACGAGGAAATATGGGGCCTGCCAAAGCCATTGTGCCCGTTGTGGCTGAAAAATTACCAAACATAAGTATTAAAGGGACCAGGATGCCACCAACTCTGGGACCCACTGGGTCCTTGGCTTCTTTCTTCGGCAGCATAAGAACGACAAAGCTTGAAGAACTGGGGGGAGATTGAGGATAGATCTTAAGACATTGAGTTAGAAATTTAGTGGGCCTTGCTTTGACTACAGAAGCCAGCCCCTTTCTCCAAACTGCCAATTCCTGGGGGATTAATTATTTCTCATTCCCACCTTTCAACATTCTTCTAGATGCCTTTGTATAAGAACCCAATTTCCAGATAACAAAGGTAAGACCTGAGGAGGGGATAGGACCTACGGCTCCCCCTGGGTAACAGCCTTCTGCCCTGCCGTTCATGCTGAGTGTTTATCTTGCTCCAGATTTGCCCATCTTTGAGTGAGTCTGGCAGATCTGATGCGGGATCAAAACTCAGCAGGGCTAGGATGTGCCTGAGTATAGCACCCGAGCAGGGCTGTGCCACAGTGGGATGGGGTTAGGCCTCTGTTGGGGGGGGGGGCAGTCATTTACGTGTCTCAATCTCAGGGGCCAGAAGAAAGGCCACCAGGAGCAGGAGCAGCTGCATGGTCCCGGGAAGGCTGCTCAGGTTGGAGTTGCCAGTACTTCCTCCTAGTCTTCTAACCCCCACGTTCCTCTCTGGTGTTGTAGTCTTTATCAGATAAGGCTTCCTCTGAGTGCCTCCTACTGCTGTCTGATCAAGTCCTGGCCTGAGTGAAATAACTTATCAGTCACCACATCAGCACTGGTAGCTCTTGACTACACCAGCTGAGAACAGGAACCACAGGCTATGGGTGGGGTGGTTAAAGACATTGCATCCATGAGTAGCAGGGCCCTGAGCTGCAGAAACCTGAGCCTCTTGATGATACATCCAAGAAGGTCTTCTTTTCCTTAACTCTCTTTAGACTATCAGGATGATCCTTCATTGAGCCCCCTTTTGTTGAAACTCAGGGGTACTGGAGGTGAGATCCCTTGCTTCTGGTGGAGGAGTCAAAATCACTAGTGATCTGATAAGGATGGTGAGGGCCACAGATAGAGGGATGGACTGAATGAATGGTGTGGGAGTAATGTTGAAGAGGGCTTGCTCCACTTACTGAAGAATTGCGTAGTTTAAAACGACAGCATTGACACCACCATCACCACCATTTATCTTTCCCGTGAATCTGCGAGGTGTCAGGGTTTAGTGTGGATAGCTCTCCTGTGCTTCTCTTGGTGTCAGGGGAGGCTTGAAGCCTGGAGACTGGAATCACCTGAAGTCTCACTCACTCATGCCCAGTGGTTGGTGCTGGTTGTCTTCTGGGCCTGTCAGTTCCTCTCTATGAGGTCCTCTCATGTGGTCTCTGCATGGGATTGTTCAGTCTTCCTCGAGACATGATGGTTGGCTTCCCCAGAGCGAGCATCTCCCCAACATAGAGCCAGGCAGAAGCTGTGTTCTTTTTGTTACCTAGACTTTGAAGTCATATGGCATTGCATTCTACCATATTCCACTGCTTGGAGCTATCAAAAGCCTCCACCCAGGTTAAAAAGGAAGGGGCATAGACACCACTTCTAAGTGGGAGGAGTGTTTCAGTCATGTAGGAAGAGCCTGTGGGATGGGAGACATACAATGGCAACCATCGCAGAGGACAATCTGCCATACTGCTTTAGGTGCAGGTAGAGTTGGTCAGAGGACTTGAAACCAGTGATTCATTTAAACTGAGGTCATAGCCTGTGGATATGTTGGGGTCTGCTCTGTCCAAACCAAATGTATTGAGAATGGAAGAGGTTTGGCTTTCTCTAAAATGTTACTCTCTTTAATGAGCTACTGATACCATGTGAAGTGGGAATGGATGCCAGGGAGCTAGAACAGTATCCTCACACTACTGTCTGGAGAACTATATTTCTCATATCCCTGGACCATTTGCTAAACAAGTTATTCTGATCATCTCCCCATAATGGATATAGAGGGGAGTCATGGAACTGAAAATATTGTCACTTCTAAACATCTTGATCCCAATTGTCTTTAAGAAGCAATAAAGCCCATAGCAATTTTGGCAGGATGGGGAGCCACAGTGAGCCAGAGCATGGCATCCAAGCCTGTGTGAGGTGAGGAAGGTGCCCACACCGGGCTTCCTATGTGGACACTCTCCTTATCCCACATGGGCTTGGATGCCCTGCCCTGGGCAGCCCAGCTTGGGATGGCAGAATAAATGTGAGGTGAAGAGGGCAGCCTAGCTCAGGACGTGGACACCCAAGTGATACGAGGAGGATGTTCACATAAGGGACTGGCCTAGTAGTTGATATCAGAGCTCAAGTAGGGAGACAGGGGCCTCCACTGAGTGGGCAGTCGGTGCAATTTATCAGAGCAGGTTGAGGAGGGTGAGGTGGACATTGGCATGAAGGGACTGCCTTTAAAAGTTAAACAGCATACTCCGTGGACAAGGCTATTTTTTTATTTTTAATTTTTTTAATTTTTAAAAAATTAAAAAAATTTTTGATTGGTGTTGCAGGATATATATTTTTTCCATTATAACTTTACTTTCATCTTATCTATGTCTTTATATTTAACATGTCTCTCTTGTAAACAGCACACAATTCGTTCTTGCATTTCTTATCTAGACTAGTAATCTCTGCCCTTTAATTAGAGTGTTTAATCTGTTTACATTTAGTGGAGCTGCTGATAGGGTTGGTTGAAGAATGTCTTACTGGGGTTTGATTTGTATTTGTGTGATTTCTTCTTTGTTCCTTTGTCCTTCTTTTCCTGCCCTCTTTTGTTGTGTCCCATTTTGTCTCCTTTAGTGGCTTTTATTTATACCTGTATATATTATTTTAGCATTTACTGTAGGATTACAGTACAACTCCTCACATATCACAGTGTACTTTGAATTAATGTTATACCCCTTCATATAGGAAACTTGTCATGATGTCTTTCCATTTATTTTCCTCCCACATTTTGAGTTATTTTTGTCCTACATTTTATTGTATATCATAATTCCAAAAGCATTTTTTGCCTTAAATAATTATCTTTGAACAAAATTTACATAAAGTCTTTTATATTTAGTCACATTTTACACATTTATTTCTCTTTTTCTTTTTCTGATTTCAACAGGGATCAATTCCCTTTAGCCTCAAGAACTGCTTTTAGTATTTTTTGCAATGCTGTTCTGATGGCAACAATTCTCTTATCTTTGTTTTTCTGAAAATATCTTCATTTTGCCTTCCTTTTAAATACTATTTTCACTGGATAGAGAATTCCAGGTTAAATACCAAAAATAGGTTGCCTATTCCTTTTTTTCTTTCAACCGTTTAAAAATGTCATTTAAGGGGCACCTGGGTGGCTCAGTCCGTGAAGTGGCTGACACCTGATTTTGACTGAGGTCACGATCTCAGGGTCCTGGGATTGAGCCCTGCATGGGATTCTATGCTTACCAGGGAGTCTGCTTGAAGATTCTCTCTCCTCTCCCTCTGCCCCTCCTCCTGCTTGTGCGCGCACTCTCTCTTTCTCTCTCTAAAATAAATAAATCTTTAAAAAAAAATGAAAATGTCATTTGACTGTCTTCTGGATTCTGTTGTTTCTGGTGGGTAATGCTTTTTTTTTTCATTACTATTCTTATTGTTGTTTCTCCAAAGTAATGAATGTATCTTCTTTTCCCTTTACTTTCAACTTTTTGTCTTTATCAGATATCAACTTGACTCTTATGTGCTTAGATGTGGCTTCCTTTGTCCTACCTGAGGCTCATTGAGCTACCTGACTCTGGGTATGAAACGTCATCTAGCAACAGGCCTATGAAAAAAAGGAACTTAGAGCTGTACTTCTTTCATGGTCAAAAGCAGCGTCATGTGGGATAGAGAGAGGTAACAAATCCTGTAAGTTCTCTAAGTACCACAAAGAGTGGTACTGGAAGGCGGAGCCATCCCAATACATGTTCCCGAAACAAATGAGAAGATTTGGCATTCCTTCGGGTCTATCCGCCACCAGGAGCTGGCTTTGCATTTCTCTCTCCAGTCACACTGTGACCTGACTCTTCCAGTGAGTCTGTGGGGAAGGAGGGGTGGTGGCAGTAGATCTTGGTGGGAAGAGAGGCGTTTCCTTGAGGTCACTACAGAGCTATTTTGTTTTGTTTTATTTCTTAATTTTCTTTCTTTCTTTTTTTTTTTTTTTAAAGATTTTATCCATTTATTTGAGAGAGAGAGAGGGAGCACAAAAAGGGGGTGGGGCAGGCAGAGGCAGAGGGAGAAGCAGGCTCCCTGCCGAGCAAGGAGCCCGATGCGGGGCTCGATCCCAGGACCCTGGATCATGACCTGAGCTGAAGGCAGACGCTTAACCAACTGAGCCACCCAGGAGCCCCATTTCTTAATTTTCATGACAGATTTTTAAGTGAGAAGAATTGTTTCCTCAAAGCTGGGAGTGGGGGCTATTTCCCCAGACAAAGGAGATTTGAAGGAATTGACGTGTTTAACGTGCTTCCCTACCTCCATCCAAATGTGCCCATGAGTAGACTTCAGCTCGCCAAGGAAGATGTTTTGAGTACTTGTCACAGAATGGCTTCCACAGGAGCCTAGAGGCTTTCTCTCCAGGGGGCTGTCTGAGCAGAAGCTCATCACAGAGTGGGGGTTAGAAAACATGTAAGGGTTCTTGCTGGCCTGGCTGTCAGGAGGCCTGGGCTCAGTCCAGGCTCTGTCCTGACTCTGGTACCTTCAGTCAGTTCCTACACCTTCCTGGGATTTTGTCTCTCCCCAATTTCTCCAAGGAGGATGAGAGACTGCAGCAAGTGTGCTCAAACTTGTTTTAAACCACAGAACCACTTCCTCAAAGTCAAGGTTATACTTAAACTGAATATGTATGTGGCTGGGTAACTTTAAAAAATAGTATTTTTAATTTTGTTTCCTGCATTTTCCTTTTTGTCTTTTTAAATCAAGGAACCTTTAATCAAGGAAAAAAGGAACTTTTTAAACTAAGGAATTTAGTATGCCTTAAATGCCCAGATTTTTTTTTTTCAGCTCCAAGTCAGAAGCTGTGGGACCTCATTGCTCTTCCCTTGTAAAAGTGCCCGAGGTCATTAAGAGATGGTGTTGCTTCAGGCTTTGTGCATAAGATGTGAAGGCGCATGGCTTTGAGGGTTACATGACCCCAGAGTATTTACCCCATGTCACAGAAGAGTGTGGTGTTGTGTGTTTTTGGTGCAGGAAGGTACTATTCCAGAGCTGGAACTTAGGCTCAGCTTTCAGGCAGTGCCCACACTCGTGGCAAAACCTTGGAGGTGTGGCTGCTGGGAGTGTCTTGTGAGGCGAGTCCAACAGAGGGAGATCCTTGTTTAGCAAGAAATCACATCCTCCGTGTGTGGCCTCCAAGCCAGGACTTTTGAGTGTTGAAGAGTCTAGAAAATCTTGCGCTTTGTGCATGCAGCAGGAATCATGGTGGCCTGAAGAACAGAGGCGATTCTCCATTTTTCTAGACTATGTGAGCCTCTCTGATTCTAGTTTGAGTCTGCACAGGTGGGAGCTTGCAGTCATGACAGAGGTTGTTTCTGGCTCGTCGGATTGGATGGGTGTTTAGAGTCAATCTTAGATTGCCTTTAGGCAATTGAATATTGTGGTCTTTCTTACCATTTGAATCTGTACAGTGACATTCATACCTGCTATTTCTTAAAATTTGTTTTATTTATTTTTATTTTTAAAAAAGTTTTTATGTATTTATTTGTGAGAAAGAGAGAGTCACACTTGTGAGTGAGCATGGGTAGGGGGTTAGGGGCAGAGGGAGAGGGAGAAGCAGATTCCCCGCTGAGCAGGGATCCCATGCAGAGCTCCATCCCAGGATCCTCAGATCACGACCTGAGCTGAAGGCAGATTCTTAACCGACTGAGCCACCCAGGCGCCCCTTACACCTTTTGCTTTTGAAGCAAATGAAAATAAGGTTGCCCTGTCCCCTAGGTGAAGAGGATGCTCCAGTAAACAGAGTTTAGTAACCTCACATCCAGAAACTAAACGACTAAAGTCATTTCCAAATCCCATAAACTGCTGTTCTAGAGTCACATGTGATAATATTCATACAAACTGTAACCAGCAATAAAAATAACTGCAAATACTTGCTTCCTGTGGATTTCCCACAGAGACGTAGGCCACATGGACTCGTGTGAAGGAGGGAGAAGAGGTTAGAAATTTAGGTGAAAATCAACAGTGTCAGGTTCACTCTAGGCTCAGAGTTTGCATTCTGTCCAATCAATGCCTGGCACTTAGTAGGTGCTCAATTAGTATTTGCTGGTTAGTTGATGGAAAAAATTGTCCTTTCCAGTCCTACTGCACAGAGGATTCCTTTAGAAGTCCAAAGGCTGATATAGCCCACGGTGGCCAGCAGGGAGTCTCAGCCTAGAGGTTGGCAGTGACCAGAGGGACAGGTTCAGAGGGACTCAGGCTACTGAGTGACCAGGCAGCCAGTGGACCCTGACACATAGGGAGACACTGAGCTGGATGGGAGGGGTTGAGCTGGCCCTGCCAGGTGGTAGATAAGGCCAAGGGTTCTGGAAAGCCACCCCACCAGCCCTGTCCTCCAAGGACGCTGTCTGGTGCTCTCAGGGCTGGTGCCTCTGATGCCCCTCTCTGTCGGGGCATGAGCTGGGCTGGCATCTCAGTGGTGAGGCCCTGCTGGAGCTTGGGTGTTGTAGGTGGAAGGGATAGGAGGCAGGGGCCAGCTCAGATCAGTGTTGTCTGGAGGGGACAGGAGTTGGTGGCCACTGAACACTCTCGGTGGTAAGCGGGGGCAGCCAGGAGACTAGAGGCTGAGCTGGTCTCTGAGCTCAGAAGGGGTCAGGGAAGGGAACTCATTCGAGGTGAGACTCCAGAGCTACTCAAGAGACCCGGCCCCTCTCCATGCCAGCTTCCTTGGCTGTGGGAGACAAGTGTCCTGATTGAGAAGGTCCCTGTCACTTCTTCCCAGTGGGGTAGGGCTGTGTCCTTGAGCTGTAGCCCTAGACTGTGCCAACTTGGTGTCCAGGACCCACAGTGTTACCCCCCTTCCTCCCTGCCAGAGAACACAGGGGGTGGAGGTAAGAAGTTCACCCAGAGCCCCAGGCCCAGAGAGGTTCATGGTTTCTCCTGGTGGTGCTCAGCTTCAGCCCTGGCAGAAGGGCAGGCTCTGAGAGACAGGTGTAGGTAAGAAAGAGCTGGAAGGAACTTTGCATGGAGTTGGGGGGTGGATGGAGAAGAGGAAGCAGAAAACAGCAGAATTTTGTCATTGGCCTTGTAAGCACAGAGTTGATGCCGGTGTATGGTCAATGAATAAACAAGAAACCAGCCCTTCACAGTCAGTTAAGAGACATTTATTTGATGGCTGATACTCAGGTAAGAGACATTTATTTGATTGCTGGCACCTTTCCTGCCACCCTCCGCAGCGTGATTCTGGATCAGCTCTAGAGCAAATAGTCTGGTTCCTGCAGGTAGGGGCTTTTCATGGTTTTCTTTATCCAGGGCAGGAAAGTTGAGATTTTGGTATAGACCCGTGGAGGTGTCCCATTTCGGCGTCCAAAGGAGACAATGCCCTGGGCCACACTGTTACACACGAGAGGGCCCCCAGAGTCTCCCTGTGGGCAGAGAGAGGGAAGGAGTGAGTCAGCTGTCCTGCTGCCCCTGCCCTCCCCAGCCCCTCTGAGAAGGCTGTCTTGCGTGGCCACCATGGGAGATGGGAGGGCAGGACAGGGCCGGACCTTGTCACTGCTTCGCTTCACCCCAGGTGGCAGCTCCCTCTCCTCCCCCGGGTCCCAGATCCTCTGCTGCAGGACTGCTGGCTTCACCCTGCTGTTTAGGGGCCTCCCCGGAAGCAGGTGGGCGGGGCTGACACTCAGCATGGAGGATGAGCCCCGAGACCCAGGTGGGGGCCAGCTCTGAGGAGCCACCTGGTTTTCACCACTGCACGTCCAGGGAGCAAGTTTTCTAACATCGGGGGGCCAGGCACAGGGCAGAGCGCTGCAAATTCATCCTCTGCAGGAGCGCCTCGTTTGGATTCATCCTAGGCCCTCGGCAGGCTGGCAGAGGGCCTGGGTGGCCCCATCTCTGGCTGCTCCCCCTCTCTTCCTCAGGAAAAAGGTCACTTCTCAGGTCTCCAGATCCCAGGTCTTCCCCAAACACCCCTGTCCCCAGAGCCCTGTTAAGCAGACCCCCAGTCTCACCTGAAAGGAAGACTTTTCTTCCATTGGGTCCCCCACGCACAGCTGAATGGTGCGGTCGTAATGACTGGGAAAGAGGGATTTGCACTGCCCATCCTCCTGCACTGCCAGCCTCACTACTTGCAGAGTATCTGAGAACGTGCGTATCTTGGCGTTGACCCGCCCCCAGCCGGCCACACTGCACACCTGTCCTGGCCGCACCCGGGTCTTGCCGGTGGGCAGGCGGAGGGGCCTTACCGCTGCAGTCTGCTTGGCCTCTCTCTCCAGCTGATGGGAAGAGGCAAGAGAGTCCAGCTCAGCCAGTGGCCCTTGGGCCTGGACACCCTGATGACGCTGCACCGTCTTCTCGCTGCCCTGAGCCACGGGGACTGGTCAGGCGGCCAGGGTGGGAAGGAGGGGAGGGGACAGGTCCCAGGGGGAAGAGGAAACAGTGTGGACCCAGGAGAGCAAGGGCAGCAGGGAGGTCTCCTTACCTTCAGTAACATGATGTCGTTGGAGTAGTTCTTCGGATTATAGTCTGGGTGGGGGATGGCTTTTCTCACCGGAATGTCCTGCTGGGTCATCTCCTGTTTCTTGATGTTGTGGGCCCCCAGGATGACCCTGATGGAGCTGCAGAGAGAGCAGAGTAGGGTGTGGGGGTGTGAAGTCACAGGATACAGCCCCAGGGGCTGTGAAGGGCAGGTGGCAGTTGGGGTGGGCAGGCCTGGAGTTGATGGGGAAACTGACGCAATAGGAGGGCCCAGGTTTGAGCTGTCTGTGCCTTCTGCTTCTCAGCAGCTGAGGTAGGGTTCTGGAGCCATTGGTGACTGTGTCAGGGGTTCTCAGGGGTCAGTTACCCTGAGAAACTTGTGAAATGGCATTAGTCTGCATTCTGATGCCAAAGCATGTCCCAGCTCTTCTCTTACTCCTGCACCTGGCCCCGGCCTCCCCTCTTCCCACCCCCTACTTGCCCTCCCTCACCCCCTTTCAGGAGCCCTCCTGGCTCACGTGTTCCTTACAGCTCCCGGGGAAGAAAGCAGGGCTCTGGGCTGGGCCGGGGTTTTCAGGGCGGTGCAGGCTGCTGGTCCCTCCTCACCTTCCGTGGCAGTGCGCGGCGGTTAGCACGAAATTCTTGTGTATCAGGAACCCACCACACGAAACCTGCTCATTCTTATTCTCGATCTTAAGATACGCCATATAGGGCCGGGAGTGGGGCTTGGCCTCATGTCCCCCGATGATCTCTCCTGAGGGAAAATTCTGTTCTGCTCCTATGTACCCACTGAATGCACCGGGCAGGCACGGCCTGGATTTGGGAGGGCATGGGAGGGGGAAGGGCAGGGTTTTGGTCTGTGTATCTGTCTTCTGCACACAGCCGGAGGGGAGCCTACCTGTCATAGGGATAGTGACGTCCTAGAGCCTCCTGAACAATCCCTCTCCTGACTTTGCTTTGGTTCAAGCAAGTTTCTAAGGCCCCTGTCATCCTGTGAAGTCTTTTCCAGTGGCGAGGACCTAGGTTTAGTTATGTAGGTGTTGTCTGACATGGCCTATTTCAATGGCCTGACATGGTAGTAAGGTAGTAAGTACCTAGGGAGTGCTGTTTGGCTTCATGAAGGCAAGGATCCCCAGGGAGCCTCCGGATGAATGTTGGTAGGGCCCCTGGTGCTAGGATTCTGGAAAACAGAGAAGTTTAGGTCTGCCAAGGTCATGTTTGAAAGAGGAGAGCCACTAACAGCCTGGGAAGAAAAGCAGAGTTGGAGAGAGGGATGAGGAGCCTTGGGATAGGGCCAAGGCAACAGCAGTCTTTTGGGGACCGGGGTCTGTCCAAGTGTTGGGTCAGCTGAGCCCTGGGCTTCTCTCCCAAGCAGATGCTGTGGGAAGCACCAGGCTCATCTCACTAGAAAGCCAGGCCTGCTCTGCCCTCTGCAGAAGGATTTATGAGGTTCTCTTTTCCAGTTTCTCACCCTCTGCTATGCACTGGTAGGAAAGTTCCATTTCCAGATGGCAAATGGGCAGGGGGCAGTACCCACTGGCTCTTCTGGAGACAAGCCTTCTGCCCTCCCATTCCTGCTGGTAGCTTGTGCAGCATCCCACTTGAGAGTGGGAGGCAGGATGAAGGCAGGGTGCAGAATGTTCCTGGTGGAAAGGTGGATCAGGGGTGTGCAGAAGGGACAGGAGAGCTGTGCTCACTGTGGGACGGGGTCGGGCCTCTGAGGTCGGGGGTGGTCACTCACCTGCCTTGGCCCCGGAAGGCAGGCAAAAAGCCAGCAGGAGCAGGAGCAGGAGTGGCTGCATCTTTCCCAGGAAGCTGCCCAGGTCGGGGCTGCTGGTCCTTCCTCTGTGCTCCCAGAAGAGGAACGGGGTGCAGATGGGCTCACTGACCTTGAACTCCCCTCTGGTTTTGTGGTGTTTCAACCTAGAAGGCTTTCTATGAAAGCTTCCCTGCCCCCACCCCTCTGTCGGATGACGTTCTCTGGGTGGTTGTGGGAGAATCATGCTGTGACCTCATCAGAACCCACACCAGTTGACTCAGAGCAGACGACTCGTTCCAGCCCAGAATAGGACAGGGAGCATACAAGGTGGGGACTGGAGGATGTGGTATCAACCTGGATGGGTTCTAGAGCCCAGAAACCCAAATCCCCAGTGATAGGGCCACCACTGCCTCAGCTCCATGCTGCTAAGCCCATCAGCGTAATTTCTTCAGCAGCTGTGTGTTTAGGCCCCCTGTCTGAATGACTCAACATACCAGAGATGTGTCTCCTTCTCTTAGAGAGCAGGCTCTCTGGTGGAGGAGACAGAAACAGCAGCGACCAGGTTCCAGCATGGTCAGCACCATGGTAGAGGGATGCACAAGACAGTAAGAGAGCATGACCACTAGCTACTAAATCCATAGGGCAACCCATTCATCACCCCATCTTCTTTTCTAGGGATTTTAACATCTGTTTTTAAATCACAAATGCTCAGAGTCATAGAGTCCACCTATTTTGTCAATGTTTTTAACAAATGTCTTGCACTTGACACCTGACTTAAGGAACCACCTTGACCTTAGACATTGAATCCACTGATTGACTGAAGCCTAGGTCATTCCTCCTTTGGGTAGACTGGGGTCAGTCCTGCCCAAACCACCCAAGCCACATGAACTAAGACTGGGAAAAGGTTGGTTCCCCAAAAGAAGTTCACATTACTAGACTGCTAATACCATGTGAAGTGGGAAAATATGCCGGGCAAACAAAGACCAAGAATTGTCCTTTTAGCATCCCTGTCCTCTGTCCAGAGAGCCACACTTCTGAGATAGCAAGGTTGGCACATAATAGACTCACTTTTGCTAAGTAAACTCTGCTGTTGATCTTACTACCATTGGTTGTGAGGGGCCATTGTTTCTAAACAGCTAAGCCCAGTTCTGTTTAAGGAACAACTAAGTATCTCTGAGGGGTAGAGTCTGGTGATTTAAGTTTCCATCACTACATTTTCTGCCCTTTACAATTTTTCTACGAGGAATATTATCTATCAAAATATATAGTTCTGGAGTAAATATCCTCCTTATCAAATCAAATACATTTATCAAACCTCTACTATTTTGAACTTAGCTTGCCCAGTTGTGGACATTTAAAAAATAAAAGTATCTTTCTGATTATAGTGGTAATATATGTCCGTTGAGAAAATTTGGAAAGTAGAAAGGAAAAATGTCACTTATTTGCTTATCTCCTATAAACTGTTACCTAAGCAATGCATTTTATTTTTTAAAAGATTTATTTATTATTTATTTATTTATTTATTTATTTATTAATTTATGAGAGAGAGAGAAAGAGAGAGAGTGACCAAGCAGGGGGAGGAGCAGAGGGGGAGGGAGAAAGAATCCCAAGCAGTCTCCAAGTTGAACATGGAACCCATCATGGGGCTTGATCCCAAGACCTCAAGATCACAACCTGAGCCAAAACCAAGAGTCCGAATCTCAACCATCTGAGCCACGCGGGAGCCCCAGTAATGCATTTTAAATACCTGGAATCATACTATACATACAATGTAATTTTGTTTTATCCTCACTTTACCCCATAACTGAAGTATTTTCTTCATGCTCTAAATGACTATTAGTTTCTTTTTCCTAGTTATTAAAAAATTTAGCAAGCAATTATTTTCTAAAATTGTTGGGAAATTTGGAAAATAATTTAAGCAAAGAGAAAATTAAAATTATCTGATTTCTTTTTTTTAAAGACTTATTTTATTTTATTTTTTAGAGAGAGAGCAGAGGGGAGGGGCAGAGGGAGAGGGAAAGAGAGGCTTAAGCAGACTCCATGCTGAGCGCAGAGCTGTATGGGGCTTGATCTCACAACCCTCAGATCACTACCTGAGTCAAAACCAAGAATCCATGCTTAACTGACTGTGTCACACAAGTGTCCCTAAAGTTATCTGATTTCTGGGGCGCCTGGGTGGCTCAGTTAGTTAAGCTGGCTTAATATCAGCTAAGGTCTTGATCTCAGCTCAGGTCTTGATCTCAGGGTCATGAGTTCAAGCCCCATATTGGGCGCTAGGCTGGGTGTGGAACCTACTTAAAAAAATGATCCAATTTCTCATCATTCATTGATAATCATCTTTAATGCCTTGAAGTGTGATCTGACATATTTTTCCCTCACATATATCTGCATTATTTATAATTCAAAGAGGATTATGCTAAATATAAGGCTATGCACATAACAATTGAGGTGAATTTCACATAACCCACAATTCATTAAAGTGTACCATCCAGTGGCATTTAGTACATTCCAAATGTTGTGGGACTACCACCTCTTTCTAGTTACAAATTTCTTCCTCACCCCAGGACATCCATCCATCCATCCACAACTTAATGGGTACTTAATAACTTTCCATTCTCTCTTCCCCACCCCTGCCTGGTCCATTGGCAACCACTAATCTTCTTTCTGTCTCCATGGATTTGCATATTTGGAATATTTTATATAAAAGGGTTATGCAATATGTAACCTGTTGTGTCTGGCTTCTTTACAAGAGTTCCTATTTCTGCACATCCTCGTCAATACTTGATATTTTTCATTTTTTATTATAGCCATCATAGTGTGTGGAGTGGTATCTTGTGGTTTTGATTTACATTTCCTTAATGACTAATTATGTTTAGCATCTTTACCTATGTTTGCTGGTCATTTGTATATCTTCTTTGGAGGAATGTCATTTCAAGGTCTTTACCCATTCCTTAATTGAGTTGTCTTTTTTTTTTAAAGATTTTATTTATTTCTTTGAGAGACTGAGAGTGAGAGCGAGCGAGCAAGAGATAGAGAAAGAGAAAGAATGAGCCAGGGAAGGGACAAAGAAGCAGGCTCCCCACTCAGCAGGGATCTCAATGTGGGACTTAATCCCAAGACTTGGATCATGACCTGAATCGAAGGCAGATGCTTAACCAACTGAGCCACCCAGGTGCCCTAGTTGCTTGTCTTTTTGTTGTTGAGTTGTAAGAGTTCTTTATATATTCTAGATACTACACTTCTATCAGATATATAATTTGCAAATATTTTTTCCCATTCTGTAGATTGTATTTGCACTTTCTTGATACTATTCTTTAGTGTACAAGTTTTAAAATTTTTATTAAATCCAATTGATCAATTTTGTCTTTTATTGTTGGTGCTTTTGGTGTCAAATATAAGAATCCAGTGTCAGATCAGAGGTCATGAAGATTTACCCTCTGTTTTCTTCTAAGAGTTTTATGGTTTAGCTCTTATATTTAGGCTGTTGATCCATTTTGGGAATTGATTATTGTGTAGGAGTGAGGTAGGGGTTCAACTACATTGTTTTCATGTAGTTATCTGGTTGTCCAGCAACATTCATTGAAGATATTATTCTTTCTCCACCAAATGGCCTTGGCACCCTTGTCAAAAATCAATTGGCCATAGACGTTTGGGTTTATTTCTGGGCTCTCAATTCTATTCCATTCACCTATATGTCCATCCTTAAGCTGGTACCACACTAGTTTTGATTGCTGTAGCTTCGTAATAAGTTCTGAAACCAAGAAGTGTGAGTCCTCCCACTTAGTTTTTCTTTTTTAATGTTGTTTTAGCTATTTGGGGCCCCTTGCAATTCCATATGAATTCTAGAATTGGCTCTTCCATTTCAGCAGAAAATGTCACTGGAATTTTGACAAAGATTGCTTTGACTCTGTAGATGACTTTGGGGAGTATTGCCATCTTAACAATATATGCCTTCCAGTCCATGAACATGGGAGTCTTTCCATTTAAGTAGTTCTTCTTTAACTACTTTTAACAATGCTTTGTAGTTTTCAGGGTATAATTTATTCACCTCCTTGGTGAAATTGAATTTAATCCTAGGTATTTGATTCTTTGGATTCTATTGTAAATGGAACTGTTTTTAAAATTTCCTTATTGATTGTTCATTACTGGTGTATAGAAACAATTTATTCTTCTTTCTCAAGAATTCTTAGGCTATGAAACATGGACATGTTGGCACTGAAATTTAAAATTTAAAATTTAAGTTTAAAATTTAAAATTTAAAATACAATACCACTGGGGCACCTGGATGGCTCAGTTGATTAAGTGTCCAACTTTTGATTTTGGCTCAGGTCATAATCTCAGGTTCCTGAGGTTGAGCCCCATGCTAGGCTCCGTGCTCAGTGGGGAATCTGCTTGAGATTCTCTTTCCCTCTTTCTCTGCCTCTGCCCCTCCCCCTACTTTCTCTCTCAAATAAATAAGCAAATCTAAAAAAAAAAATACAATACCACTTAGAACTGCTCAAGAAAAGAGAAATACTGTGATATAAATCTCTCAAAACATGTACAGGACTTACTTTCTGTTTAAGATGAACATAACTGAATTGTTTTGGCGTCTTGAAATATCAACATTATCGTGATGGAGAACATTTTAGTGGTTGCCAGTTGTCAGGGTTGTGAGGGTGAGGGAGGGAGGTGGGTGTAGCTCTAAAAATGCAACAGGAGGAATCCTTGTGATGATAGAACTGTTCTGTGCTTTGCCTGTATCAGTGTTATGTATCACTAACCAGTTATGATATTGTACTATAGTTGTGCAAGATGTTACCGTTGGATTAACCAGATAAAGTGTCTATGAGATATTGCTGTATTATTTTCTACAACTACATGTGAATCC